TTTACATAACAATAATTATTGTATAATGTAGGCGAAAGTTATAAAAACAAAAACAAAAGAAATGTTGTGTATAAAAAAACATTTAAATTTCGGTGTATCGTAACACATGCAAATCGGGCGTTACTTTTTGCGGCGACTGTACTTCTGTTCTTTACTAGTAGCCCGTGGGCCATTCTTTTATACATTTTTTTGTGTGTTATTATTTTTGTACTATCAAAGAAGACATATCGTTTTGCTAAAATAATAAAAAAAAGTTTATAACGGACGCTCTATTATCCACAGCAGAAACTGATGGAACCGCGCTGAAGATTGATGAGGAAATGCTGAAAACGATGAGGAGATGCTGAAAAATAATGAGGAGATGCTGAAAAACAATGATGAGACGCTGAAAAATAAGGAGATGCTGAAAAATAATAAGGAGACGTTAAAAAAAAAGAGAACGCGAGGAGTGGCGCAATTCCGTCGCACATTAAAAAGGGAACTTCTTGTTTTTATTAGCATGTCGTCATGCTGAAAAATAACAAATCGCATTTGTTGAAATATCTGTTGCTGTTTTGCTGATAATGCGGTGGGAATTAGCTGCTGAAGAGCTTACCGGATTGGGAAACTTGCGATATGGTGGACGATCGTGATGGGAACTCGCCGTAGTGGTTGCTGTAAATTCTACCGGTTTTGGGAATCAGCGACGCTACACATACGCTGATCCGACGTTATTGACATCCGCGACTCGATTTCCTCGAAGAACCGTAATCGAGGAAGTTTGTTTACCGGCGGTAACATTACAATCAACGTTTGTGATGTACCGTATACATGTGTAATTTCAAGAATTCACACATGATATATCGGAAATTACAGGTGCGGGGATACTTTTGACGGGCACTGTATTACTAGGCAAAATTAGCAATAATTTATACGATATCGATATAATTTAGCATACGAATCAAATTTTCTGAATACATTTAATATATACGTAGCGTGAGGTTTATTTTAATATAGCAACAAGTGTTCCAGTAGAACGAGTTTTTTCTGGTGGAACTGATCTGATAGCAGATAAAAGATGTAGTCATAAACAGATACAATTCGTGCATGTATGTGTTTGAAATCCTGGTGGGCATAAAGTATAGAAAGAAAAATATAAACTAGAATTAATGTAATATCCAATTGGCTATACTATACGATATAAATAAAATATGCATCTAAGTTTTTTTTTACATGCTTTAAATTGAATTGTAATTAGTTTTAGCAAAGTTTGAGTCGATCGACAAATATGAATCTGTCACTCTAGCGCTAGGATGTAATATCTCGACATACCGGTGACCAGTTTGAGCGAAATATCACCATTTGCTTCGCCTAGATTAGAAAAATCGAATGGTAGTATTTTTTTTCGCTCAAATCGGGTCGCTGGACGTTTAGATATTATGTCCGAAATTGACCAATTTATCGGATTTGGGCCATGAACATAAAATACCCAATATAGAAGCTCTAACAATCTATAAATATACAAGCGATCAGGTGTTGTATTAACGCCCAGAAAATTTGGGTGTTATAGTATTTTGGGCGTTAGGATACTTATACGTAATCGTTACTGTAATGGATTTGTTCATGTGTAATTAAGTTTTCCATATCTGAAAATAGACGTGCAGATGAACTGATATCGATATGGTAGGAATTGTCAAATATTTACGTGCAAGTTATGAAAGAATTGGGTATAGGAAAGAAATCGATTCTCGAGCACAAATTACGACGACGACGAAAACAATAACGACGACGACAGCAATGACATAACTGGTCTTTGGTTTGGTTTTACATTGCATGTTAATTTTTTTCTCTTTTCATTGGTTGAAATTATACTTTAATTAGATTAATTGAATTCGTAGAGATACCACTTGGTAAAGATACCCATAGAGGCAATTGAAGTACCGTAAGGTCCCGTGAATAAGCAACCCCCTACGTCATTGGGATCGGTTTTTAGAGGTTGCTTATTCACGGAACTTTCTGAATACTTAATGCCTATTGGCCCAATGGTTAAATTATTCACTGCGTATATCTATTACGGGTTTCGATCGCGTCGCTAATTTGTTGACCATCCAGTTTAACCATGTCATTGGTACTAAATCATTATTGAAGCTGGTAATTCCGATCGTTGCACGCAACGTTGGGGTATGTTATTTATTATATGTAACAAAACTATGGTCTCATAAAATATTATTAGGTATATCGATATCGAATACGATAATACTTCTTTTTCAGGTAATTGTTGTTTGTTGAAGTTAAGTCAGCTCGTTGTAGGTTTTCAAAGGATAGTTAAAAAGGAAATGTTGTTTAGTCTCCACATCAAAAAATCGGGTCCTCGTTTTTATAGTTAATATGGACAGTGCAAAAAGATTTGCACCTCAAAATAAAAATTAATAATTGCTTCTAATAAAAGTCATTCGAAATTTAACTAAACTCTATAATTTTTTTACACTGAGTAAAGAATAATTTAAACTAACTATTTATATAATTTTTATTATTCTTTTGTACTTTTATTCAATAATAAATGAAGCAATACTTTTCTAAAAAATTATTTTTTATAAAAATACATTTAAGCATTTTATTAATTTGCAATATTAGAATTTCAAATTATGCAAGCATATTACTATATATTTGATAAAAATATATTTTAAATTTCATAAAGATTGAATCAGTAGTTATTGCAAAATTAAATTTCAAAGTTTAACAATTAAATTATTTATTATATACATTTTATATTAATTTAATCAAATTTTATATAGTAAAATTTATGAAATAAGGATTCAAAAGTTATTAATAGTAAAAATTTTTTATGAAATATATATAATTTATTTTAATTAATCCTAATATCTAATGACTTAATTAAATAAGACAGAATTAAAATTTTATTTTAAAAAAATAATTTATTAATACTTATTTGAGATGCAAATCTTTTTGCACCAGACATGTATATGAAGTATTAAAATTCTGTAAATATTTACTATAAATATAATATTTTAATTATTTTAGTATATAAAAAAGGATTGCTTATTCAACTTTTTAAGACTTTTGAACCTAAGGGGGGGGGGGGGGGGCTTATTCACGAGGATTGTTTATTCAAGGAACTTTACTGTAGTGTTTGGACCTGTTCAAAAAATGTGTCCTGGGTCACCCGAGGGTTTAACTCATGGATCACCCAGGAGGGCATGCTTAAATTCATATGATTGGTTGAATTATCGCAGTTTGCAAATTACCTATATAATCATCCAAGACTCACTATTCTTGCAATTTATTGCATATGTAACTTCAGATTGTTTGTGAGTTGATAATCTATGATATTCATTACAATGAATGCATTTATATTTTATTATATAAACTCGTGGGAATGCCTTTGACTTTCGTGCACTCTTTTATTAGACTTTCGATATCCTTGTTTTCGCTAGTTAATTCAACTTTATAAAGTTGATAGTGATAATCAAAACACTCACAATCGTTTCTTGACAACGAGTTCATTTACTACAATCATGAATTTGTAGTTTTTCTTTTATGTCACTCGTATTATACACATTTCGAACAAATTAAACAATAATAATAAAAGCCAAAAATTTACAAGACAACAATTATGAAACTATATGTCACAACATAGAAATTAAAGAAATAGTTAAAGCTCTGTTCGGGTCGGGTCGGATCGGGTTTGAGGTCAACCCGAACCGATAATTTCGGGTCGGGTCGGATTCGGATCGTGTTTGATCCGAAAATCGTAAAATAGTTTTTAGTTAATAAATTTTATTTTTACTAAGACACTTGTATTTGGTGTCTAAGTAGAGTTGTTCGAAATTTAATTGTGTATATACCCACAAATTTTAGTTTAATTCCAAATTAATATTGAACGAGAAATAACGATTTTTAGGCTGACTCGAAATATTTCGGGTCGGATTTGACCCCAATCCGATCCGACCAGAAATATGCGTTCCGGATATATATACCCGACCGGGTCCAAACACTACTTTACGGTATTGTGATTCTATATCTGTTTCATTATTATCAATACGTATTACGTAACATTTTTATTAAATGACAGTTGTAACATTTCACAAGTGAACATCATGACATGATTTTCCAATTACATGTTATGCATTATCGTTATTATTAATCGATTTGTCTTTAAAATCGATTCTCAAATTTTAATCGATTTCCAAATTTAATCGATTCTCGATTCTACAAATTAATCGATTCCTATCCCTATGAATATTCATAAAAAGTCGAAGAAATTGTTACTACGAGACAAGGATTCTCCAGTACGCATTTTAAAATTAAGACAAATTTGTTGGTTATATTTATCTGTAACAAACACGACGGCTAAATTGATGTTGAATTCTATTTTGAAGGAAGATAAAACTACGAACGAACTAATCCAATTTTAGTGAAAAATCTCGATGGCGGATACGCCTTTTTTAAGCTCCTCTCTATCCTTTTATTGAAACAAGAAGAGAATTTCTCGATATCGGTCATACGATTATACATCCCTCGCTTCACCGAATTCCAACTGTCATATATTTCCTGTAGTTCCGGGGCCAGCTGGTTGTCAGAAGACTTGATTAAATCAGAAAGCTGCTAAGTGTACTACAATCTGCATTTGCTAATTTTCCTCCAAATCGAGTGGCGCAACCAGTAAGGATGCGCAAATTTTTGATCAACCTAAAATCAGACACAAGACAATGAAAAACGCAAAGAATGTGGAAAATACGTAATAAAAATGTCAGGGAGATAACCTTCGTAACTAAAAATAATTTGTTGTAATGTTGCAACACGAAATGATGAATGCTGCAACAAACCCATTATGTTATAGCACTATCTTAATCACAAAATTGCCATATCGATATTGTTGAAACAAAACCGTTATATTATCGTAATGCACCGTAATTGAACTATATTATACTAAACCGTTACGGATTGTTGTAATGTCGTGATTAAACCTTTAATTTACATTAATAGTTGCAACTACGTAATGCCGTAATATTATATTACAGTTCACATGCTAACAACTCTTAACGTTAATATTTATCAGAGTAGAATTTTCCAGGTGCTCAGAGGAACAGGAAAATCGATCAATTCACACGTGCTCGAGTTTGTCCAATCAGCTCTCAAGTAATATCACGTGATAGATTTCGTCCAATTAGTGATTGGATTTAACTGCATCCAACCGAATCAGTGGATGTCGTGACCTTATCGTTATTTTTTTGTTTTGAGGAAAATTTATCGTAGCACAGCGCTTATGCCAATCTTACATCAGCAAAAAGATAATATTATCATAGAATACGTACCAAGCAACAATCCTGTTGACCATATTGAAATGGTACATGTGGTACTATGGTCACAACATAACTACGATTACTAGAGTTTGTCTAACGCTAATCATTCTTTAATTTGTACAATGTTTTTAGTTTACATTTATATGAATTCAAATTATTAATTATTATCTTATTAACAAAAATTGATGAATTAATAAAACAACGTTCTAGCAATAAAATGATAAAATCCTTGACAGATGAGAAATACAATATTATTTTCCGATCGTTTTAAATGTTCCGCAGTTTGCATACGTTCGTTATTAATTTTCTGTTGTGCTCCGTTCGTCTCACATTATTTAAGTCATTCCTAGTAATATTTTGATTTATCATATTCTTACACAAGAATCGTATTGTTTGATCAAACTTTGAAAAATACTCATTCTTGTCCTTGCAGCAATGAATATCTTAGACGATTAAGTTTTTGACTTATTTTCGAACGCATTTGCTTAGCTTTGATAAAAAATGAATTGTATTACTTATAAATAAATAATTGCTCTTTCAGACCAAGTTATATTTTCAGAGCTATGAGAAGTCAAATAGCTTTATAAATCACAAAGATTTTTTCAAAATGAAAGAATATTAATAGCACTAATATTTCTAATTCTGAATTTTTTTCTCATAAATAAAAAATAAAACAATAAACAGATCTTATTTCAGAAACAGACAAAAGTAATATATTTCAATGACAGATTGTTATACAATTTATGATGATGCTTTTCTTTCAAAATACAATATCAGGATTAAAAATTATGTTGAAAAAATCTGCTTTATTAATACAATAGGTTTATTATGTCTGTAAAAAGTGACGTTTTACGGATAAATATAATATGTAAAAGTCGATTTATATTTATGTACCAACTTTTACTGGTGTTTACAGACATAATAGACTGTTTACAGACGTTTATAGGTACCTATTTCCTATGACTCAAGTAATATAGCTCAAAATTATTTTGTTTTGTTTATCAGACTGATAGGCATTTCTCATATCGATATTTTTTTGGATTAAAAGAATTCATTAATTCACATCTTTAGATGAAGAAGCTAAGGAACTATATGATATTAATAACTTAATTGAATATCCATTTCTCTGAATGATTCAAGCAGTTGTGTGGTAGAAAAAGTCCAGTATTGTTCGTTGTTTTGTACATGTGTAAAATCGATTTGATTTAGTACAGACATATAGACACATAAATTGAGTATGAAAATATAAGGAAAAAACAGGCTTTTACATACGCAGTGTACGCCTGTAAAACACATGTATAACGTGATTTTTAACACAGATATGGGCGTTTAAATCTAACAAATAATTTGAAAAAATTCGCGTTTTTGTGGTATTTGTGATTTTAAGTCAATATATGCCAATAAATATTTTTTGATTAGACGTGCAAATTTTCTTATAGGATATACATGTATAATTAATATCGCACATTACATAAATAATCTTATAACGGGCTATATATATTAGTCAGATTACATGCATATAGCGATAGCGTTACCTAAAACTTATACTACATGTACATGTATAAACAGTAGAGCAATGTAATATACTTTACTGTACAACTAAAGAGTATTGATATAACAATAAATTAAACTTTCATATAAACTTATTACATAAATTTTTTTACATAATCGATAGTAAAAGTAAACCTGTAATCTTTAACCATTAATAAGCCATCATCGATTATCAAAACAAAGAAATTTTGTATTGGACAAGGTTATACATTGGGAGTGAGTTACTGGGACCGTTGTCAATTGAAATAGTAGGCTTTATTGTAACAACAGTAATGAGTTCGGAGATCGGTTATACTGATACAGGTGTTAACAAAACGGATTTGTAAGTCTATACTGCAGCTGTATGAGTTGTGACTTCGGACTTCTAAAATTGTTGTTCTACAAATTTTTATTTAAAGAAAAATAAAATTATATAAAAAAATATTCTATAAACATGTAAAGAATTTACAGACGAATACTAACCCTTCAATGCTGCAAATAGTGTTTATACGTAACATAATCGAGAGCAGTATTGATACGGTGCATAAAATCTAAAGTCATCAAACGTTTATATTTTATAAATGTATAAACTTCTTTACTAAGAAGTAAATACAAAATTTAATCCGTGAATATGCTCAGAAAAGGCCTATTCTATCATATTCACGGATTAAATTTTGTATTTACTTCTTAGTAAAGAAGTTTATCCATTTTATAAAATACAATCGTTTGATGACTTTAGATTTTATGCACCATACACCAATGGACTGGAGCACACAGAGTTCATTGAAGATATATGCAGGCTGCGTCGCAATGTGGTCCAGTACTGAGAATAAGAGAAACAAATTTTGTTTGGAAGCTTTTCATTGTTTAGTTCGTTTCTTTGTAATCTGTTAGTATAAAGTTTCATAAATTAATTATATTACTTCATTATGCATGTAACTTATTGTTATGTAATTAATGATAACATAAACAGATAACGTAATACTACATGTTCACTTTTTCGAGTGTAAAAAACAATAATTTGAATGAAAATGGTATCATCACTGTATGTAGCAATTAAAAAACATTTAGGTTTTTATGTTTCTGTTTTGGAAGATTAGATCCGTTCTGGATTAACTTGTGACTTGGGTGAGAACAAAAACATTTCTCTTAGGTTAGTCAGCATTTGATCGTGTGAATGTAACAATAACACTGTATATAATTCATTCGCTAAGTATAAAGTATAGATGTAAAAATATAAATAGAATTCTGTCATACTATTGGTCGAGCGAGTTTTTCCAGTTTTAACTTGGATAAATAATAATGCATCAAATATAAATAGCTAATAATAGAAGAACAAAAGCAAAAAGTAAATGAAAACATGATCAAAAAAATTCTAAAAGAACCAGATTTGGATAAATTTTTATTGATACATGCATGATCTTTGTGTAATGCATGTACATTGATATCGATGTGTACGTAATCTTAACGTTAACAAAAGCGCGCACAAACCATGATAACGATGATACGTAATACATGTACTAACGCCAATTATGCTCGGTGATAATCACGCAAAATCTAATACTTAGCGTTAATTGCAATAATAGAAAACATTCTTTTTATATCATGCAAAATTAACGATAAAATTTTACCGCACAAAAAAGATATTAAAACACAAATTATCTTAAAATTAAAAGATCCAAAAGATAGCAAAAAGTTTTATATAAAAAACAATCAATTTATAAGTTTTTGGTTTTTATATAAAAAAGCAATTAATTTATAAGTTTTTAGTACTTTATTAAGAAAAAACAATTTAAAAAAATTTTAATATATTCCAAGATTTTATAGAAATTTCTAAGCATCTAAACTCATACATTGTAAATGTTTTCTATTATCTAAACTCATACATTGTAAATGTTTTCTATTAATAACGAATATTGCATTTTATTTTATCGATGTAGAAATTGTGCAAATTATTAAAAATTAGCTTAGCACATAAAAATGCGTGACTTGTAAAAAATGAATTTGTGATAAATCATCATTTGATTCAAACGTGAAAATTAGATTTACTCGAAAACATCGAAATTTATGAAGTGAGGTTGAACTTGTTGTGAATCAACAAAAAATTGTTTTATTGTCATAAAATCTTTATCGTCAAATGGAATCAATTTCTGCTGATGTCAATGGAAAAGACCCTTGATATATATTTATTATCTGGATTTCAGAATTTTGACATTCTCATTCGCTAATAGAAAAGTGTCGAATCTTGAGAATCAAGAATTTGACATAGAAAGATTTTATTTCGAGTTTATCGTATTAAACCACAATTTTTATTAGAGGATGATCTTTTCTTCTTGTATTTAGGTTCCTTTTGAAAAGGAGGCAAACATATTTGGTAAGCTTTCGTGAATTTCGCCGGCAATTCGTTTGTACTCTTGTTTGATTGAATCGGATTCAGTCTTCCATTTTTCGATGCCATGCTCGAAATTTCACTCGCACAGAGACGAATACTATTATTAATTAGTGTATGTTGAAAAGCTTTTCGGTACAAAATAAAGCTATTTGGTTAATTACAGAGGTATGGTGCATAACATCTAAAGTCATCAAAACGTTTGTATTTATAAATTAGATAAACTTCTTTATTAAGAAATAAACACAAAAGTTAATCCGTGAATATAGAATATGCCCTTTCTGAGTATATTCACGGATTAAATATTATTAGTAAAGTTTATAAATACAAATGTTTGATGACTTTAGATGTTATGCATCATATAATATAATAAATAATATAATATATCACTTGGTTATGGCATTAACCTTCAGGATTATGTCATTATTTGCAAGCAAACCGGCTAAAGTAATACAAAGTACAATTAATGCAGTACGGCAAAAAAATATAGAAATACTTCGGTTTTGTTAAGATCCAATTGCGTAATGTCATGTGATGCCAATAACTGTTTTCACGTTTTTATCAAAAGATGACTAATACATGTACAAAGGATTAACTTTGTGTTAATTGTAGTAAGCGTAACAATAATGTAACGATTGATAACTTGCATAATTTCATTGTAGATGAAGCTACGCAATTGGATCTCGATGCTTCTTTTAAAAATGCATAAAAAAGTGAATTGACCGAAAATATCCAAAAATAGAAATTTAGATTTTTTGCCACATCCAAACCTAATTCAATTTAGAAGCATAACTAAGAAGCGAACACGACAAAGTGACAGAAACACTTAAGATGTGTGTCTATTTACTAAAAATATTTATATCGAAATTTATCATATTTAGGTAAGTTATTGTAAAATTTGTATCCGATTTAGTGTATACAATTATTAAAAAATTTTATTTTATTTTATTCATTATATATGCATCTGTAAATTAAACGCACGGAGCAATTAATGAATGAAACAGACAAAACAGTACACATATATAAAGAGAGAGTGTGAGAGAGAGAAATCTACAGAAATTCCTAAATCTAACACACGAAATAAACAAAATGCCCAAGCACTGTCAAAAGAAAAATTGTAATCCTACCTTGTTTCCTACTGATTTAAATAAAAGATTTGATACGAACGAAGAATCAATCCTTCAAGAAATTAAGGTGCCCTCTCCGTATGACAAAAGCCTTGTCAAAATTTTAAAGAAGTTCGGCCAATTGGATGACAATAATGCATTGTCAAAGAAGCCGCCAAATAGCTTTATTTTGTACCGAAAGGCTTTTCAACATACACTAATTAATAATAGTATTCGTCTTAGTGCGAGTGAAATTTCGAGAATGGCATCGAAAAAATGGAAGACTGAATCCGATTCAATCAAACAAGAGTACAAACGAATCGCAGGCGAAATTCACGAAAGCTTACCAAAATATGTAAGTTTGCCTCCTTCTCAAAAGGAACCTAAAAGTAAATACAAATGGCGTATTTATTCTGGTCTTATAAAAAGAAAGAAAGGTTTATCCTCCAATAAAAATTGTGAGCTAGATATGGTAAACTCGAAACAAAATTCTTCTATGTCAAATTCCTCAGTTATTGATTCTCAAGATTCGATACCTTGTCTATTAGCGAATGAGAATGTCAAAAATTCTGAAATCTCGATAATAAATATATTTCAAGAGTCCTTTCCATCGACAACAACAGAAATTATTCGTCAAGATTTCATATCTTTTCCATTGCTAAACGAAGACACTACAACGTATAACAACGACAGCCAATCTTTTGTAAATTCACAACAACTAATCCAATCTCAGCTAAATATTGACCGTACAAATCGATTATTGAATTATGAACGTTCTGTACCAAGCTTATCAATAAATAATCCTGTAGAATTGCCATTAGCAATTGAGGAGGCTAACAAATTAGAAATTCACAACATAGATATATTTCAAGAGTTCTTTCCATTGACATCAGAAGAAATTGAGTATCAAGAAATGATGAATTTTCTATTGGATGATAAAAATTTTATGACAATCGATTCAGATAAACAATTTTTTGTTAATCCACAACAACCTCACTTCATAAATCTCGATTTCTACACATGATGCCTAATAAATACAATTTAATGTGTAACTGGCATGAATTTTTAATTTTATGCTTGCGGTGAACATTTTACACATAACGGAGAAAAGATTTTTTTGACTGATCAAATTTATCAATCAAGTCACGTTAGTCTAAATTCGACAAGTTAAAAAAAAGCCAAATAGCCAGCCAATCAAATTTGTCATTACACCAGCAAATAAACTACATGTATATTGTACAATTTATTAGTATTAGAGTTTAATTTAATTAAACAATTCGAATAAATGAAGATACAAAAATTGGAAAAGTTGTTTGGATATTGGGAGTTAGCCAAATTAACCAATCTAAAAATTCATATATGAACGATATTATAAAAATTTCTCGTCAAAGAAGATAGTAGTTAGTAATAAAATAAATACTGATTTTTCAATTATTTCTAATTTGAGTCTGTTTTTTATTCTTCCCGTGGTATAAAGAATTTCACTATAGTTAATTTGACCAGTAGTAATAGAGCATTGGAACTATCCTTGGTCTTTTCAATTGCCCAATCTTTTAAATGTTCTGTTACTACATAATGATACTTGGCGGTGACGAAACCTTTCGTCACGACCATTTTGAAAATGTCTGTGACGAATGACGAAACCTGACGAAACTTTTTGGAAATTATGATCAAATTCTGATTAAAAAAGTTCTAAAAATTTACTCTTTCAATCATGGTTTGTTGAGCTCTGATGGAAAAAGTGTTTTAACATTGTGGAGATCGATTACGATGCGGTCGAATGGTTGATCAAGCTTGATTGGGTGTAACGGATCTGTTCACCGCTTTATGATTATTACACCAATATCTTGTGGTAAATCCAAAATGTCCAGAAAGCGTGTTGCCATGTAAGTTGTTTATAATTGCTTTGATTTCGGTTGTTTTGAGTACGCAGAGTGTAATGTTGGGCTCTTTTCTCGGTTGATCTTGTAGAGTAGGTCATCTTGTATTATGTAATGTTTTGCTTGGTTTTTAATTCGTTTGATTGTTCCTTATTGTATCCTTCGGAATAATCAGGTTGGGGTATGTCGTTAAATCCATTTGGTTTAGTTTTTCTGAGGCTTTGATATTTTCTTTGCATTCGCTGAGGTTTGGATGTCTTTATCGGGTATGTGTTATCGTTTTTATTATTTTCTTATTATTTTTTATTATCATTCACGTTTTATTATTGTACGATTTATTATTCTTTCTTTTTTTAATATTATTATTATGATCCTATCCGTGAGAGGGATCCACGTTTTCGTTCATTTTACCAGAGCGATAGGTAATCAGGAAGATAAATTCCATCATTGTCATGACCCATCGAGAAATTCATGGTCCAGGGTTGGTTTATTTGGAAAATGTCAGCGAAGGGTGTTGTGATCTGTGACTATTTCGAAAAGCGTTCCAAGGAAGTAGTGTCAAAATTGTCAAACAGCCCATATTATGGCCAGTGCTTCTTTCTCAATGACGCTATATTTCTTTCGGTGGATTTCAAGGAGACACTTGCGTAGGCAACAACTTGTTCTTGACTTGTTCATATTTCTGAGAGAACGGTTCCTAATCCGGCATCGGGAGCATCCGTATATAGGTAAAATTTTTTCTTTCAATAGGTTGAACGCGTTCTCTTGATCTATAGTCCAGGTATAATGGATATCATTCCGGCGAAGTTGAAAGAGTGGAACGGTCGGTGACTTGTGAAAATCCTTTGATGAATTTTTGATAGTATCCAGCGAGGCCAAAACATTTAATAGTAGTTGGCTGAGGGAATTTCTTAACGTTTCAACAGTAGGCGGGTCTACCGAGATTCTGTCTTGACCGATGACATACCAAGAAAAGGTAAGCTGTTTCGAGTAAATTTGTATTTCTCAAAGTTTTTAATTTTGTATCTCGAATCCGCTGGAATATTAATCCTAATGTTGTAAGTATTTGTCGAAGATTTGTGAATAAACATCAATGTTATCAATGTATATAGCAATCTTCATACTAATCACCAAGAATATTGTTCATCACTCTGAATAATAGCAGGACGTTGCATAGGCTGAAAGGCATTATCTTAAATTCGAAGAGGCCCTCTCGCAAAATAAACAGTCTTTTCGATACTACAAGGTTCCATTTTGATTTGCCAGTATCCGGAGGTCAGATCTATGGAGGAGAACCATTTCGATTCACCAAGACTGTCCATCATTTCATCAATTCTCAGCAATGGATAAGCATCTTTCTTATTTATTGCATTTAGTTGTCGATAATCCACACATAGTCGTTTCTTTCTGTTTTTTTTTTAAGTTACCATACAATCGGCAAAGACCAGGTGCGACTGAATTATTGGTTTGAGCATGCGTCGAATCTCATCACGAATAAAGTCTTGATTTGGGAGAGTCGCTCGATAAGCGTGTTGAATAGATTTTTCGGTCTTAGTTTAGGAGGTACGTCTCCATCTCATCTTTTAAGGTCAAACCAAAGCCACAACTGCTCCTGGTGGCAAAAATTACGTTTTTGATGTATTGCAAGTACCCTTAATTTAGATTATGTTTTTGATGCTTCTGCACAGTAAAGCAATAAAGTCACGTTTTATAATACCCAGAATTTTTTGTCCTGTCAACACAATTTTTAAGGGATAAACCAATCAAATCGCAAGATTAATGTGTAATGGAAAAATTCAAAACAAACGTTTATTTTTGAAAAATAGCTTGTATCTCGAAATTATGCCTATGAAACTGCTTTTTATGTTCTAATAAATGTTCCTTGAGAATTTTACATACATTTTTCATATCCAATATAACTTTTAAAAGTTTATAGTAAAATTTTGCAAGGAATATTTTTCATTAGAACATAAAAAGCAGTTTCATAGGCATAATTTCGAGATACAAGCTATTTTTCAAAAATAAACGTTTTTGAATTTTTCCATTACACATTAATCTTCGATTTGATTGGTTTATCCATTAAAAATTGTGTTAACTGGACAAAAAATTCTGGGTATTATAAAAAACGCGACATCAAAAAGTAACATAAATTAAGGGTTACTTGCAGATCCCACCAAAAACGTAACTTTTGCCTCCTGGTGAGTCTTCTCAGTTCTTGAGTGTTTACGCATTCCAGGACCTCGGCCATTGTAAGAAAATGGCTTGAGTGACGCGTTCGTTTGGTTCGATCCGGTAGGGTTCTTTAGAGTTATTATACAATGTACACTAATGTTTTCTATAACCGGCATCGATTGTTCCTTCTTTAACTTCTATTCCTCTTTTAACAAGTGAGGATCGAGACAATAATTGATATGCAGTTTCTACGGGAATCTCGAAAGCAATATAAAGATCGATTAATACTATCTGTCATGGTGTGATCTGGATGGACATGTTTCTGGAGTATTGAACATCAAAGCCAGCATCTGTTGGATGGACTCGCTCAGATATTTCCCCTTTTCTTTATAATTGTACATCTTAATCATCAAATTCATATTATTCGATTATTCGATTAATCCAAGTTTTTCTTTAATTGATCAATTACATGCAATCTGTTTATTCAGGCCACAACCATGTGGTGCTTATTTTTCACCATGTTTCAACTTGCTACAATCAAAAATTTTATAAGTCACAAATAGTTGCAATTTGGTGATTTATTTGTCACCACATTGCAACAGTTGAGAAGTCATCTTTAATCCAGGCTACAAGAAATTAGATATTCTTTGCAAAGCTGAATATTAATATATAGTTCTGGCAGTAATAAAAATGAAGTTCTAGATTTTTAGCAAGATAATAACAATTAAAAATAAATAAAAATTTAATAAAAGTGCATTATGACAAGTTATTGCAGATTTGTAAAATTATCAAAAATTATTTTCTTAATAATCAGCATCAAAATTTATGATTTAAATTTTTTATTAACATAAATAGTTTGATAATAATTTTATTTTAATCAGAATAATATTTATCGAATTACTGTAATTTTAAATCAGTAAATTTATTAAATTTATATTAATATAAAAAAATTAAATCAAATATTAATAATTTAAAATATAATATTATATTCAAAAACATCAAAAAAATTTTTTAATTTTATTATATAATTAAATATAATATAATATAATTAAAACTTGGCTATTATTATTTACTAAAATAATATTTCAAGCAAGTCAATTATATTTATTAATTAGAAAAAATCTGCTGGTAGATATTTTTTTATAAAATTATTCTTATAACTAAAATAATTAATTTACATTATTTTTATATATTATATTTAATAATATATTTAATAAAAATAGCTTTTTCTATTTTATTTTATTTTATTTTATTATATTTGCAATATATAATAAGTTATTAATATAGCCAAATTTTTTTATTTTTTGTCGATTATTATAGTTAAATATCTAAATATATTATTTTAAATAGAAAAAAATATTAATTAATTGATTTATTTATATATTATATATTATATATATTATATATTATAATTAAAATTTTTTAAAATATTATTATAATAATAATTTAATTTATAATTATTTATTAATTTATTAATTTATTAATATTTTATTAGACAAATTGAAATTATATTATATATAATAACAATTAAAAATAATACAAAAACATTAAAATTTATTAATTAAATATAATAAAATTTTATAAGATAATATTATATATTTTAACATATATTATTTTCAGATTTTTAGATTAAACTATTCTAATTATATATAAAGTTAAATATTTTTTATAATTAAAATATAAAAAAATAATTGATTTTATATACAATTAGAATTACTTAATTATATTAAAATATATTATATTATCTTTATTTTAATATAAAAATAAAAAATATTTATTAATAAATTTTGATATTTTGTATTAATTTTGATTATTACTATATATATAATTTAAATATATATTATTTATATATAATAATAATTAATATAAAAAAATATTAATTATTATAATTAACTAATTTATTAACTTGATAATCTGAAATTTTTCAGTTAAAAAAATATATATTATTATAAAGTAATCAATAAATTATTAA